TACTACTACTCCTAAGCCTGTACTAGGGACCCTTGCAAGCATGGCTACCTCCCACATTTCAGGGGATGCGTGTTGGCCCCCGCAATAATAGGAGGTGGTCAAGGAGTAGGGTGGGGCAGCCTGCCCAGGGGACCGACTAACATAAAGGCCGAGCATTTTGCCAGTAGTTGCACTTCAATGATCAATCTACTTCAGTGGACTTACTCAGTTGGCTGAAAATTCATGGCAAATAGTAAATGTAAACATCTATTTCATTCTACCAGTCGAAGCAAGCAGTCCGTTTGCGCACGCAGTCAAAATCAGTCTTTCCACTTTCTACTTATTGAAGCGTACTCAATCCAAACGATGAATCTGATGACTAAGTACGCCGATCAGGCAGGCCGCAGTCAGTCCAAACACGCAGTCATGCAGATTAGTTAAGGAAAAGAGTCAGTTCTAACAATCAGGCAATCACTCGACCTATACACCCAGCTCAAATCAGGCCCACTCTGGCGAAACGCTCCATTCGAGAACGAAGTGGGTCAACCAGGCAGTCCGCAGTCAGTCCAAACAATCAGTTCGGGCAATTAGTCAAGGAAACGAGTTAGGTGAAACAGTCAATCAATCACTTAATGTGTATGTACTTCACCTATTTATTTTCATTTCGAAGTGGCATTAGATGAACCCAATTGGACCGGGAGTTGGGTGTTGGGATTCAAACATGAAATCATCCATTGAAATACAGGTCGAGGAAATTATCGATTGCGGGAGCTCTGCCGGAACTCAGGAGGGGTTCTGGAGGCAGGGAATACCAAGGTACGTGATCCCTTTCAATGTCATTGATGCAAACACTGGTGAAGTCAATTACCGATTGCAAAAGCTTTGCTGGATGCGCCTGTCGGGCCTAATGATGAGACATTCAATCAATTTATTATTCAACCACGTACACATTTACTCGGTAAACTGTTCCGTTGAAACACTTATCAGTCGTTTGAACAAGCAACCAATAGGAGAATAAACCAGTCGATAAATTAGTCTGCAAGTTTCACAACAAATTACTCAACCACTCTATCAACACCTCAACCAACCAACCAACAAGTCCACTCAGGTCGTACAATACGGGAGTGGCCATGACTTGGTTGTCATGGCCGCATCCATCTGCACCTGTCGGGCCTGATGATGAGAAGATTATTAACTATGTCGTAGGCTCGCATGTTCATATTGATGACGGGCGTATGGCAGGGATTACTATTTGTCTGGTTAGGTTTTCATGAAACAGAGAGGGACGCTTTCATTTTCAGTAGGGGAGTGAGCATGCCGTGTTTGTCACGTTTCCATCCTCCAATGTTGGGCCGCTTAGTTGAGAACTGTAGTGGTCATGACTTGGTTGTCATGGCTGCATCAACCATCGACTATCGAGCTTGATGATATCGGCATTGACCATGCCTTGGGTTGGCATGTTCACGATGGTATAGCCCGCACAATGGGGCTTGTCAATGCATGCTTTTATGTTCTTGATTGTTCAGGACGGCAACGGTCATGGATCGGTTATCATGGCTGCACCTGCCNNNTTTTGTCGGGTCTCATGAAAAGCACATCGATGATGCCTTGGGTTGGTATGTCCTCAGTTTGTACAATTGCCATGACTACACCCATCCTCCAGTGTTGGGCCACTTAGTTGAGAACTGTAGTGGTCATGGCTTGGTTGTCATGGCTGGATCAACTATCGACTATCGAGCTTGATGATATCAGCATTGACCATGCCTTGGGTTGGCATGTTCATGATGGTATAGCCCGCACAATGGGGMTTGTCAATGCATGCTTTTATGTTCTTGACTGTTCAGGACGGCAGCGGTCATGGATTGGTTGTCATGGCTGCACCTGCCGTTTTCTGTCGGGTCTCATGAAAAGCACATCGATCAGGCCTTGGGTTGGTATGTCCTTATTTCGTACAGTTGCCATTGTCCGAACAACAACGCAATGAAATTGTCGCTATGCCAGTCAATCATTCAGCCAAGCACTCGGTCAACGATCTAGTCAAGCACCCGTTGAATCATTGCTTGAGCACTTCATCAACCACTCAACCGATCATACCGTCAAACAATCTGTCAAGCCAGACGGTCAGCCATTCAGTCATCCATCCAATCATCCACTTTGTCAACCATCCATTCAAGGACTGTGTCAGTGACTAGTCAACCACTCCATCTACCACTATGTTAACCAAACTGTCAACCAATCGGTCAGCCAATCAGTGGATCGGTCAGGCATTCAGCCGACTTATCATGCAACCACGCACACAATCACTGAGTCAATGAAATAGTTAACCTATCAGTCGGTTGAATCAGGTATTCCATTCAGTTCACCACTAAATCATCTGACTGGGCAAGTTACGAGTGAACAAACCAGTTAACCAATCAACACAAAAATCTTTTAACCACTTAACCAATTTATCAACCACCCAGTCAACCATTAATTTTGTTGGATCATGCATTCGGTGAACCACTCAGTCATTCATACAATCAACCCTCCAACCAAACACTCGGGGAATCATCCAGTCGAGCACTCGGTGATGAGTGAATCATTACTCAACCATTCCAACAACCACTTGGTCAACCTTGTCTAACAATTGTGCAAGCNGGGGAATCATCCAGTCGAGCACTCGGTGATGAGTGAATCATTACTCAACCATTCCAACAACCACTTGGTCAACCTTGTCTAACAATTGTGCAAGCATTATGTCAATCGGTTAGCCACTCAGTCCACATACTAATGTGAYGAGTGAATTATTACTCAACCACTCCAACAACCACTTGGTCAACCAAACYGTCAAACAATCGTGCAAGCAATATGTCAATCGGTTAGCCACTCAGTCCACATATTAATCAACCACTCAATTAGTCAACCACACAGTCAACCACTCRTTATGCTGGATCATCCATTTTGTCAATCACTCAGTYATCYGCAMTGTCAACMATCCARCCAAGCAGTCGGTCAACCATSYAGTCGAGCAYTCGGTGATGAGTSAATGATTACTCGATCACTCCAACAACCACTCAACCAACAAAAGTKKCAAACAATCGGTTAAGCAWTATGTCAATCGGTCAGTCACATAGTCAACTTCATATTCAACCACTCAACCAGTCAGCCACTCGGTGAACCATCCGATCAAGCATTTGGTCAAGCACTACYAGTTCATCAGTGAGTCAGTCAACCAAACTGTAAGGTATTCACTCAACCATTCACACAATCACTYTGTCAACCATGTTATTCGTGTACCCAATCAACCATCTCACAAAGTAAGCAATGAGTRAACAAAACACTAAGCCCATAATGAACAAAACACTAAGTCCATTCAGTTCACCAATCAGAACGACAACTCAGACCAGGTATCCAATCAACACAGGGATCGGTTAATCACTCATTTTATTGGTTGAACAAGTCAACCGATCGGTTGAACAATTAGTTAACCACACAATCAACCTCACAATTGACCACCATCAGTCACTCAGTCAATTAACCACTACACATTACTGTACTCGGTCAAACAATATTAAAATCGTTTGGTGAATCCTTATTCAACGTGTCCATYGAATACCTAGTCAACCAAACTAGCAAACAATCGGTTAACCAATCAGTCAACCGGTCAGATACCCAGTCAATGTATTATTTCACCACACAGCACGCCATCCACCCAGTCAACCATCAACTCACGCATTCCGTCAATCACTAACCAACCACTCCATCTACCACTCTGTCAACCAATCGGTGAACCAATCAGTGCATYGGTAAGGCAATCAGTCAACTTATTAGCCACACGAACAATCAGTCTGTCAACCATTCCATTCATTTACGAAACAGCTGTCTGATCGTATAATCAATAACTTSATGAATGAGCGARCAAAGCAGTCGTGRGGACCAGTTAGTTGCATTCTGTTTACCCGTCACTCATCTGACGAGGCAACCAACAARGCAACCAACCARTAAAMCAATRAACACAATAATCGGTTAAGCACTCACCTCATTGGTCAACAGGTTTCTAAACTGATTGCTTAACMAATCAATTGACTACACACTGAAGTGCTCATTCTATTGGATCRTCCATTCAGTCAGCCACTCAGTCATGCGCACAGTCAATTATCCAGCCAAACACTTTGTGAACCATCCACTCGAGCATTCGGGGATGAGTGAATGATTACTCAACCACTTTATAAACCACTCAGTCAACGAACCTGGAGAACAG